CACTATGAGGGTGTCCAAATTCATAGGCGACACCATCACACCCAAAACCTCCCCTTCTTCCTAATCATACGAAACCCACGTGTTGCCGTTTCCACCAATAGGAAAGAGGTGGCTATTTTTCCTTATTTACTGTTTTCGCGCTGTCCTTAGAAGACGCTTTTTTTCTCTTTATTTGCAAAAATGTTATGTTGTAGACATTGAAAGAAATATTATATATTATAATTTGGCTCTTTAAAAATCTTCTGGGTGTGGAGCTTCTTTATGAAAACTAAAAACCTGACAGGACATCTTGGTCTCCATAGGGTGGCAGTAGCGGAGTAGCAGTAGCAGCGGAGGTACCAATCAGCCTGCCTGGTGACTGAGGAAGAAGAGCGGAGCACACAATGCACTGCACGGTTGACAAGGGTTGTGTCTCCCTGGTTTTCGCGATAAATCTCCAGTTCAGTACAAACTCTCGAAGAGGCAGCAGTGGAACCGACCTATTTCTTTCTTTATAACCTACACACTGGATTTAGCGAGGGAAAAAAAGAATTCGGTGACCGGAAACGACGGCGATTGGTCAAGCTTCTCCTAAACATTGGATTACAGAGGCTGCATGAAGGAGCTGCCCAGCCCAACGGGGCTCGGCCGACACCCTCGTTTATGGAAATCGACCCCGAGGCTTTGATGCTTGGGCCTCGGTTTTTTTCCTTTATGATGGAGGTGGAACGACTCAACAGTTTTATGTGAAGGAGAGGGATATTATTTCGTGGATGATTCGTAGAATAAAAACCCGCTTCCGTATTCTTCCTGCTTCCTCTTAAAAAATTAGAGATAGTTGGTTGTTGCTAACAGCTGGATTGGCTAACGCTGACTAGCATCCATGCTAATGTTACGTCTTTCTTTTGATGCGACTCAGCTACCACTATCGGCCATCAACAACCCGACAGGAGAAGATTTTGCCCTCTTGGCTGCTGATTATTAGTTATATTCACACTCCACAGCCCGGCTTATCAATGTTTACAGAAACGTTTTAAGAATAAAGTTGTATTCTTAGTTTGTCGGACTTATATTATTATAAATTGAATTAGCCGCGTATAGGCTAACTGACGTTCGCTAACAGCAGCCATTTACTATTTAAAGTAAAGCAGACAGCTCTTTTTATTCCTCGTAAGGCGTAAATTAGAGTAACTGTCAGTATTAAACGTTCAGTTTCACAGTAATATGCAACGTCTCGTAATAGTCGTTATCAGGCCTGGCTAACTAGCTAATCAATTTGCTACTAATTTTGTCAGCGTGTGCAGAAATTAAGGAAATCACAAACGGTTTGTTGATTTAATCTGTGCCGAAAACAGCATTATTTTCAATCTGTTACTCCTGCGGAGGCAATCTCGCCCTGCTTTGGGTGTAACACAGCCAGACTTGTGTTTTATTGTTTACATGTTTACAACTTGTGTGGTTATCGCTTGGATTTCCTGCTAGCTAGCACGCTAGCTAACGTTAGCCGTCAACGAGACACAATCAGCGATGTCCTGACATTCGCGTTAATGTCGCCGATGTTTTGAATTCCCATGTGGATGTAAGTTTGTTTTCAGATTTCAGAAATGACACTAACATTTCGCCGAGAGAACGGCACTGATGCCAGCAGCATACTGCTGTCAGAGGACGGTAAATAATAGCCACTGGTTTCCATTAACGCCATTTTAACAGAGGTTCTCGGAGAGGGCCTGTGTGGTGGTGTTTTTATTCGCGGTTCGGTACCTTCAATCGGGCCGGGACTTGCGTAAAAAAGTGCCTTTGGGAATCTCACCTAAGTTGCGAAAAGGAGGTGGCATTTGAACATGGAGGGCCCGAGCCGAAACACCGGATTCAGGCAGAGCCGGCGATCCCGTTCCCAGCGCGACAGGGAGCGGCGGAGGAGGCGAGTGGATCTGGCCGAGGAGCGGGCCACATCCCTGTCCTCGGGCTCCGATCGGGAGGCATGTGGGACCAACAGCGTGCTGGGTCCCGGTGGGAGAGAGTGCCGACCAGGGTTTGGCAGACACAGGCCTCCACGCCGGAGGAAGAGGGAGTCTGTGTCCTGCGAGGAAGAAATCATTGATGGCTTCGCTATTGCGAGCTTCATCAGCTTGGAGGCTCTGGAGGTGATTGTCATAATTTGGTGTTTTTTACACCCCACTAATCAGCTGTTATTCATGTGTACTTTCAGCGTTAGTGTTCGGTGGGGATTTGGCACCCTCCTTTCCTCTAATTTATTAAATAATCACCATCCTCGTAGGTGGTTGCTTTAATACTCATCTTTGTAAATTAAATCATCCAAGGGTGTGAAGGGATGCAGATTGAGCCCCTAAAGCGTGACAACAATCCACTCCCCAATCCTCTGATGGCTCCTGGAGAGGCCTCAATTATTCATGATCTAATTTTTAGAGGTGTTGATGAGCTGTGAAGTGGCCTTTGTAGATAAAGCAAGAACAAGAAATACATTAAGAAAAGATCGTTTAACTATTTTCTGAGTTTGCGCTGTCACAAAGCTTTCTTCAGACTCTCAAGATTTAAAGTCAGGACGCATATCGATGTCAGTACCTCATATTGAATCCAGTTTTGATTCTAAAGGTGTTAAATAAACCAGTAAATGCAGATAATACTGACTCTGCCCCCAAGTCTCCCCAAAATGCCCATTTGGAGAAGAACAGTCCCTGATATGTATTTGATGGGTTTTCTGGCTCAAAATTAGGCCTTTGATGGGTGACTACACGCATAAGCATGACTGATTCCCATATAGTCATAAAAAGTGTATGTTTCCCCTGATTTTTCCCTATGTGATAAAAAGCATGTGCCAAAGGTAGATCAAGTTAAACCCAACTTCAAAAAAACTGTACTGCTTTGGCCCTTTGGTGGAAGACCAATTTTTTGTATGTAGCAAAAAAAGTACATTTTACGTTTAATTATTTACAAGATGTTGGCATGTGGTAATTTGTGGATAATCTTTGATAGTAGTTTAATCTGCCTTTGTGCTGATGTCATTTGCGTGCGTCTTACATCTGCATCAGTTTGAGGAAGCAAATTATTTGCCAATAGGTCCCACAGTAAAACTGCCCATTCACACACATACAGCTGCGCTGTTCTTCTAGGTAACTTCATTTTACAGTCAAATGGACCCATGAAGTATTAGAAACTGCTAACAGAGAAAAAGGAAAGAGACCTGCCAAAAAATTTACTGCTCTATACCAATGAAACGTCGTAAGTCCCTTTTGTTTAAAAAAAAAAAAAAAAAGAAACCATATCCTGTCTGTAGTTTTTCTGTAAAACATTTTTAAAAAGGGACTTTTCCAAATTACACAAACAGACTGTGTTAGTTTGCATGAATTTACCTGCAATTCATGCTGAGTTTATTTGCCTTTTTAAGTGTAATCTAAGTAGTTTTGCTCAAAATGACCCCATGGAAGTGACTAATAACGATTGGTCTGTAGTTAAGGCACACAGTTTGTGTAACTTTACTAATCAACTAACTAATATATTAGTTTTCTTTTTAATTTTGGCCATTGAAAACACAAATATATTTAAACTTGAATAAAAGTTGGGCCTAATATAAAATAAAACTCGTCAATGTTTTAAATGTGGGACATACAGTGCTGTATGCCAGTCAAATGTTTAAAAAACAACAACAACAAAAAACTAGCAATTTTTAGATCTCGGGTATAAGGAAATGTATATTTAATGTGGCTCTTTTTGGTGAAGGAAAATCAGCATAAACTAAACTTTTATAAGTGGGTTCAATTTACTCCAGTTTAAAATGCATTTTTATTTTTCAAATAGCTGAAAATCACATACTGCATAGCTTTTGCGGTAAGCGTAGGTGAACCAGTCATGCTTATTTTTTTTGCAGTCACTCCTGAAAGACGAGAAATATCCTGCATATGCGTGTCATATCAGAGTTGTGCCGTCTGAAAAACGTGCCTTTGGTGGTGACTAACAGTGATCAGTCCGGATGTAGTTAAGGCAAAGAGTCTGTGGGACCATACTTAACAGAAGTCTGCAGATTTTCCTGTATTTTAGGACTCACTGTAAATGGTTATTTCTGTCAAATAAGATTAAACAAAATTGTCAACTTAAAGCAAAATCAACATCAACTTTCAATGTAATTTGATTGATTTGCTCCATTGAACCTTTTCACCATTACTCTCTTTGACCTTTATATTGTTTGTGACATTCCAGCAACTGGTTAAATTTATCAGCAGTTTTCTGAAAGAGTGATTTTTTTCTTTACTCTGTTTAAATAATTTTGTTGTTGTAATTTGTCGTTGCCTTGAGGGCTGATACTTTCCAGCAGTTCGTCAAAGAAAGGCGACAAGGCTGAATAATGATTGTTTGTAGCGGAGATGCGTTACTCGTCTCACCGCTCCGCTGATTTTTCTTCTCACTGCTGGGGGTATATAAGTAGGGAAGATAAATGGCCAGAAAAATGAGAAACCATGTACACTCCTTACTGTAGATTTTTCTCAGAAAGGTATTGATTAAACTCTTGAGTAATTGTTTAGACTGTAAGTTGTTATATCAATTTTATTTATCCTCTATAGAGAAATTTTGGTTGCTCTTAAAGACACGTTAAGTTCTTTTAACCAGTTTAACAATCAGTTTCTTTTTCTCAAGCAATTTGGACTTTTTTCTTCATTAAATGGTCCAAATATTTCAGTCAAATAAGGTTGTTACCTGTAGTTATTCCTCAAAGACTTATTGTGAGCCAAGAAAAATGTCATACATATTTATTTATTGCATATCAAAGTTTTTATTTGCTTAAAATGTGCTGTTGGGGAGTGACTGCATACCTAAATATGATTGGGTCGCATGTAATAAAGAGGGCAAAAGTATTACCTTATATTCTTTGGTAAAAACTCTGGACACCACAGGTAAAAGACGCCCTTTGAAAGGGAGGTCATGTACAATGCTTCAGTTAAATATATTGTCAAAACAAGCAATATAATTGAGTCCACACACAAACAGCTCCAGTAATATCCTCATGCTGGCTCATCTTTTTTTTTTTTTTTTTTTTATGAACAGCAAAAATTAGGACTAATAAGCCTGTAGCTTGCCTTTGGGTCTTTGGCCTCAGGCTTACACATTAATGCTTATTTATCCACATTTAAATCCACATATTTTTTCTCCTCCTTATCAGATGGACTGTTCTTTGAAGCCCAGTCAGCGAACTGATATGCTGGGAAGGAGGAACAAGGGGAAGAGAGGGCCGGAGGAGAACGGCGGAGGACCCCTGTCAGAGCCGGAGGAAGGAGCCCCGCCCAGCAGCTATTGGAATAATAGTAGAAATAAGAGAAGAAAGATAGAGGTGAAACTGACTTTACTACCATGTTAGATGTCACTGAGATAATTCCTAATCAAACACACAATGTTTATACTTCTGTAGCGGTAATCACCTGTATATCCTGCTATTGAGAAAATGACCTTGTAAAACAGGTTCACATTCACGCTCTTGCACGAATTTTGACAACACCCATCGTCCAGGCAGTCCAGAGTGATTAATCACATCCATGAAAGGTTTAGAGCTAACTGAAACTCACTGAAGCTTATTTTATTCCTTTTTTCCCCCCTTAGGGGCAACCTCTGGAGACTGGCTATATTGTAAGTTTCTTTTCTGCTAATGTCCAGTGTTTCCCACACAGACTTTATTTGGGCATGCCTCATTTACTAGACATGAAGCTCTACACAGTATAGCCTGCCATTACTTAAATTGCACACTTTTATTTCTTAGCGTATTAACAGTGTCATAATTATAACATTTGTTTAACTAATCCGACATAACAATCTTTCTCTACTCTGTCCATGAGTGCACTGCTGTAAAGGAAAAGGCTGTGCTTTGTTTAGAACACAGAACATATTAAATGTTATGAAAATATCCATTTTATCATTCGTGACAAACATTATCTGTATGTCATAGACTTAAAAATCATGTGATCCACATGGTAACAAGGAGACAAAATAATTTAAAATTTCTGAAACTATTACAATAATACTTGATGGAACAAATAGTGAAGTAAAAAATATAAATGGAAAAAGCAAAGAAAAGTTGGAGTCCATGTATTTCTGCTTGCATGCACACAGGCATACGTGGATGTGCAGACTGTGTCCGCTGATGTGTTGCAAAGCATGCCCAGCAGGTTTTAGTTTCCATTAGATTGATCTAATCTCTTCCTGTTAAGATCAGTCTAAATAGTTGAGCTTGTCTCAAACTTGAGATATAACTGGAGGCATTTCCCCTGGAAAAAAAAGGGTTTAGATTTATTGATCTACTAAAGTAGATATAAATCCCTTCTGAGTTGCATTGGGAAGGCCACAGTGTTAAAAACATGCAGAGCTACCTGCTTGGGGGGGGGGGGTCCCTTGTGAATAGGGGAGCAGCCAAAAATAGACTTGCGCTGAGAGAATGGGATGATTGATTTACATGAGGACAATCCTGCTTGCTCTCATTTTAATCCCTCTGATGTCTAAATCATCATCTGTGACAGCCCCAACTCTAGCTCCTGTCCCTGTATTACGAGAAAGGCAGAAAGGACTTTAAATGTTTGTTTTCTTTGGACACCTGGTATGATGCGACACTATAACAGAAATACAACAGGCAGAGCTGAAGATGCTAAGAGTGACCAGGATGAACAGGATTAGAAACGAGTATTTCCGAAGGACAGCTCAGGTTGAGCAGTTTGGAAACCAAAGTTAGAGAGGTGAAGCTGAGGTGGTTTGGACATGTGCAGAGGAGGGATAGTGGATATACTAGGCAGGAGGAAAAGAGGAAGAGCTCAGAGGAAGTTCATGTAAAGGAGGGGACACACACACACAGGGTTGGTGTGACAGGAGGATTCAAGGGGTGGATGGAGGCAGATAATCTGCTGTGGCAACCCTTAAAAGCAGCAGCCGAAATAAGAATTGTCATTTAGAATGATTAGTGTCTTTATCCTGAGATAACAAGACTTTGGAGTTTGGCTTGAAAGTGAAGCTGGCACGAGAGGCAGTTTATTATCGCTCTGCTATTTATTATCATAACGTGTACATAATCTAATTTATTTAAGAAAATATGTGCCCCACAGATAGTTTACTTTGCGAGTCATGTCACTGTGATTTAAAAAGTTAATCTGAAAACATGGTAAATGAATTGGAAAATGTAAAACCGGGAACATGGTGGGAAATAAAACAAATGACTCTAAAATATGAGGAATCAAGGCAAAATATTAATAAGCAAAAGAATAGAATAAACCCCACTAGGTTAATATTTTAAAATATAATTCTGTGGGGAAACACTGTTGTGATGAAGTTGGTTTACATTCGTTGGCTGACATATTCTAATAAACATAAATGTTTTCTTCTGCCTTATTTTCCTCTTTCAGTGTGACACGGAGAGTGACACGGGAGACAAGGTGTGTGTGGTTTACCAATATTCTTATCAAGAGTTTCCATGTTTGGTTATGTTTGTGTAGATAAAATTATTATTATTAGAGGGATCCTACCACAGTCATGTTCTCTTCAGTTGTAATCTTAAAAAATGTGTTGATTAAAATGGAGACTCGTTCTAATAAAATCCTCCTCTTGTTTTCCCATGTAGGCCTCCGACAATGACATGGATCCAGTGTTCACAGTCAGCACTAGGAAAGGTTTGAGAAATTTACTATTGGCATTTCTTTCCTGCTGCTTTACATTCAGGAAACGCTGAACTGATGTGTCAGTCAGTGGGCTCCCACAGGGCTAAACTTAGATCTTAACAGAAAACGAGTTTGTTTTTACAAACAATTGTTTTCGTTCTTTTAGTTATTACACAAAGTGGAGCTGATTAAAATCTGCAGATAATGAAATGAGAGAATACAGACATGTGCTGCATACGGAAACATGAGGTGGAAGGAAACGTTAGAAAAATATTTTGGAGACCTGGAGAGGGTACAGAAGATGGTATCGTCACTGTCTGAGACTTCTTTTAATCTCCAGCAAAAGTATTGTTAGATTTAAAATAGAACCCACTTGCTTTTTGTTTCATTTACCTCAGTTTATTTTATTAAGATAAGAAAATACCATCTTAAATACAAACTAAAGAAGACAAAGAGCCACTGCTACTCTGCATTAAAAGGAGCTGCTTAAGGTGGTTTGGGTATCTGACTCAGACAACACCTCCTAAATGAGGCATTTTACGCATGCCTGCTGTGGAGGAGACCCAGAAAACGCCTTCTTATCCCCCACCAGAAGAAGTGGGGGAGCTGGCTGGGTGAGGAGGTCTGGGCCTGTCTTAGACTGTTAGACTGAGACTCTGATCCGGACCTGGAAAAGTGATATAAAATGGATGGATAAACCCATCAGTGGTTATTCAGTTTTGTTGGATGTATTCATCAAAGGAACAATTATGAAAACAATTATAAACATAAATGTGTATGCTTTGTAAACCTTTCAGAAGCTTAATGGTCCTGATCAGACTCCTCCACTCCCAGTATCACAGTCACAGGTAGAAAGGGGTGCATCCAAAGTCCTTCTAGAAACAAGTTCAGCCACCCTGACAGCTCTTCTGTACATTTATTTAGATGCCTTATTTAAATTAACTTTAATTTAAATGGTCATTTGGATATAATAAACTGCATTTCTGCAACCACTAGTAAAATATGATTTTAAAAAATCATTTTGTCATAACTTATACTTGGTGTTTAGTTTCATGACATGACTTATTTCGGCAGAGACACCATGCTAATTCTTGTTCTGGACAGGAATTAAAGAAAAGCCAAGAAAACGGTTATGTTTTTAACCAGTTTTGTTAAATTAACTTGACTAAACATGGACATAACAGCAAGCAGGACAAACGCCATCTCCTAAAGATGTTCCCATAAATGGCACCGAAATGTTGTTAGAGACGCAGCAAAGATTTTTAATATATGACTGTTTAGTTTCAAACATTTACCCGCCTGTGGCAGACGGCTGATCATCTTTTTTTCTGCTGCATACTCAGATCCAGGTCCATGTTTTTATGGTTAATTGATTAGGTTATTAAAAACTGTGTACCACTCTGTCTTTGACTTCTAAGGAACATGAGGCTAAAACATTGAGATGGCAGTAAGTTTGCAGGAATTCATGCTGACAGTGGAGGTGGGGGCAAAAAAGTATTTAATCAGGTTGGAACATCGGATTGTTGCGTCCAAATTTTTTAACTTTGGGTTTAATCACACTCAAGTGGTCAAGCCAGTTTTGGCTGTTCTGAGGGTGTTTTGCTTTGGAAGACCTTTGTCCTTCCTGCAGGAGTTGAGAAATTGCTGACTGGTTTTCTCTTCTCTCAGTTGTCGATCCCGCCCCTTCAAACATGGGCTCATCTGTGGGCAAAAGCTGCCCGTCTCTGCCGGTGCGCTTTGGTGGCGTCTCACGGTTAATGGTGACTCCACGGGTGTCTGGGCTGGAGCGAAGTCAGGAGAAAAACCTGGAGCCACACTTCCCTGAGCCGGTTTCTTCTTCTACCTCTTCCCCCTTCTTCCCCGGCCTGCCTTCCCACTCCCCGGTCACGGTGCCCCGGTCCAGCCCAGTCAACGGCGGCAGCCCCCACAACAGCAGCCCCCCGCTCTCCAAACCCAAGCCCTCTTTGCCCCCTCGAACTCAATCCATCTACAACAGGTATGAAACATACTGAAAACTGAAGCTCAATTTCTTCTTTCATCCCTCTGATGTCGTCTTCTACATCTCTTTGGCTCAACTGTTGTGTTTTGTGTTTGTGTTTTCTCGGCGGCAGCAGCACCCCAGTCAAGCCTCAACCGTCTGCTTCATCTGTCGGGACGTCCTCATCTTCCATTCTTCCCCCACCTCCTTCCGCCAGTGTTTCTCTGCCCTTCTCAAGGGGCTCAGGATCCTCAGGGCCTCTCCGACCCCCATCCCGAACCAGCTCTGGAGCATTGTTCACATCCTCACCTGGCCTTCCTCCGCCTCCACCTCTGCTGCAAGGTACAGCTCACCCGACAGAAGCGGGTACAGCAAAACAGAAATGCTTCATTTCACCGTTTCAGTTGTTTATGGGAATGTGATGACTAATGTGTTGCAAAAATAAACCAAACCCAGACTTCCCCAGGCGGTTGTCTGGGTTTGTCTGGGGTGTTGAGGAAGTTGTGTATTGATGAACTGAGATCGGGTCTCATAGGCACAGCATGTGTTGCATAAAGTAGAAGTTGCATGTAAGTATCACTTCAGTAGTTGTAACTCTTTTGTTCATGTATCTGTGAGATTAACTTTAGTTTGTGTTTCCCACACACATACCTGGTTTATTAACCTTTATGAGTATTTGGCAACAATTTTAGGATTTGTTTTTCTTTTCATCTGGCAAAAGGAAATCATGAGCAACCAGCTCTTATTTTGAAAGTTGAGCCATCCTTTGGTTCTCATGTTTTCAGCTTTGTTTATGGCCACTGTGTTGGTTGTGGTGCACACCAATTATCATTGTTCTCACAGATCTGTAACCATTTATACAGACCTGGCAGTCTTTTCCTAAACGATGGGTGTCACAACTCAGAGAAAACCTCAACTTCAGTACTGACACAGGAATAGAAGAAGTCAAAACAGGAAGCAGAATGATTAGAGGGTTTTTTTTTTTTTTTGTTTTCTTTTTCCCAAAGCTGTTGTTTCAGTATCTGCCCCTCTTATAATCTCTCCGAACTCCTGCCTTGATATAGAATTCAAATGACAGTAGAGACTGACCCACTTGCACACTTGTCTCAGCCTGGTAAAAATTAGCAGTAATATAACACCAAAGCCTGGTGCACGCCTGCATATTTTTAATTTTTTTTGTCACTCTTGGTGTGCTCGACCATTCGTAAGGGCAACTGCTGTTGCAGCTTTCATCAATATCTATTAGCTGCTTCCACAAAGAGGATCTTGTCCACTCTGTGATATAAGTGCAAACCCTTGAGAAAACCTGGGCTGTAACAAGTGTTTATTTCCACCTATAGTTTTTATCAACAACCTTTTTTTTTTCCTGACATCAACAAGACAAATATCTAAATAAAAACTGAGGCAGGAGAACAAAAACTATGATGGCACGAAAACACGAAATGCAACACGAAATGTGGCAGAGAGATGAGATCCAATCAGAAGTAATCTGCTTGTGTGGTAAGATTAGACGTGTACATTTGAGTTGCTCTCAGGAAATCTTTTCAACTAGCGCCCATGCTCCCTGTTTCTCACGAAAATGCAACAAAATGACACATGGACACATTTTGTATTTGATGCTGAGGAAAATAAGACTTTAGAAACTCTATGGAGGAATTCTCACTGTTAAAAACACAGCAAACTTTTACACTTTATATTAACTGAATAAACTTTATATTTAGTCTACTATAAGCTTATGACCTTTAGTCCACTGAAACTGAAGAAATTTAGTGTCTTAAATTCTGATTAATTTATATCTTGATGCACAAGCTCACGCAAAAGACCCTTAAGAATCAGCTACGTCGTAGATTCAAGGCAGAAGTCTAAATAAGCTTGATTGGAGCTTGAACTTGTGGATGACTGGTTGGTGTGCGTCTATGCTGAACTTGCAAGCAGCTACAGAGCAGAATAAGGGCTACCTGTGCCAGATGCAGTTGTGGTGGTGTAGTTAGAGTTCTTCTGCTAGATAAGACTCCCTGAAGAAGCAGGTAATGAATAATTTGGTGCTTGATAAACAAAATATTCACAGATCAGAAGATTTACCTCCACACATCCCTTTTAAGCATTGTTTGAATTTCTGAACTTGACCGCCAGTGTAAACAGAATTTTATGTTCTTTAATTTATTTTCCCGTTGCCTTCCACTAATTACTGCCTCGTTATTCCAGCAGAGCGTGAGGGCAGACGCAGCGTCCCCGGGGCTGAAAATAACCCGGCGGGCCGCTCCACTCCAGGAGGCCCAGCAGCGCCGAGCTCCACGCAGGGCTCATCGAGCCGGACGTCTCAGAACCAGACGAGCATCCCGGCGATGGCGTTCCAGTTCCATCAGCACAACCACCAGCACCAACACACGCACACGCATCAACACTTCACGCCCTTCCTGACCCCAGCTACGGCGTCTCCGATGGTGAGAAAGACTCTGCTGTTTTACTCCTGTTGTAAACTCCACTGCAGCTGGAATGTGTTGACCCATCTCAACTGTTTTTGTCTTTTTAGTTCGATAAGTACCCAGGCAAAATGGACGGGCTGTACCGACACACTGTGAGTATCTGAGAATAGCTGTCAGGGCATGGAAACGGGAACTAAAACTGTAGCTGTATTTTGAAAGTTGTGTACCGGCCACTAAGGTGTGTTTGTGTTTGTGCCAGATCTACCCAACGTACACGCCGCCCTCAGTGCAGGGTATTCAGATTCCCCCTCCTCCTCCTCCTCCTCCTGGGCATTTCAGCTCATTGCAAGGGGCATTTCAGCCAAAGGTGAGGAAAACTCTCCTTGTGTCCGTGTGTTAGCATGATGTTTTTGTTTTTTTTCAGGCGATAACTTCCACGTCACGGTTTATTTGAGCTCCCTGTGATGACAATGTCACAGTGTAACAAGCACTAGAGGCAAATTTGCCAACAATCCAGTTTTTCGCAGGTTTAAACGAGGAAGCTTATATTTTAAGCTTCCTCGTTTTGTTGTTTCTCCCAGAAACTCCAGTAATTTCGACCAGTAACCTATCACACTCAAGTTGGAATAACTATAATAAATGCATCCGTTTGCCTTAGGGCTCAGTCACACCGGTTCTAGAGGTCTGTGTGAGTGATCCCCTACTGTTTGGAGAGTTGCTTGAAAGCAAGTGCAAATAATTTGGCGTCAGCTGTACAATTTACAGGTGCCAGGTTTTTGGTGATTCGCCCTCTCCAGCAACCACTGGCCAGATGCACATTTTTGCAGCCAGAGCGTCACAGATAGGTCCCTAGTGTGTGACTGAGTCCTTAAGTGTTTTATTTGACAGAATTTGTTTGATAGAATTCAACACTTTCAGAGCAACCTGGGAACCCATAACCTGATTAAAATGGCACGTGTGCAGCTAACCTCTGCGCAGGCAGAAGAGTTAGATGCTGAATAAACTAGTTCACTGTTGACCCATATGTGCGATGTGTTTGATGTGTGCCACGTCCCAGCAGGGAAACGGCAACTTCATCTCCCCATTTGAAGCTGGTGGTGGTACAACCGCTAAAATGAATTGCAAAAGGATGTTTTGTCATAGCGTAGAGGTGCAGGCAGATGATTTCCTGTAAAGCAAGAAATGTCAAATTTTTGTTATGAAGTAATTAAATTTAAGTGCCTTTGTTTTTAATAATGTTGATTGACATTTTGCTAATTTAATCAGGAATGCCTGAAGCCTGTTTTCTGGTCATTTTCTTCTGTTTACATGTAAATTATGTGTATTTTTTGCCTGTTGAGCTTAACGGGCTTTTTGCAACCATTGCCAAATGTTGATCGGGTACTTGACAAATCTAAATCTTCCTTTTATGAGAAGGAAACAACTTGAACTTAATTTGAACCTTACCAAGGACGTCCAGGTGGTGTTAATGAAGTAAATCCAGTGCACTGTGAATTTGTGTCTCAGCCACTCAAACAATTTTGGTTTTGAACTATATTTCAAATAAAACTAGATGTAGAAAAAAAAATAACATTTGCAGCCAATTTTTCTACCAAATTAAGCAGCTGAAAAGGCAGACCAGACCAGAGTGCAAAAAATATTTCTTTAAAGTGGCACGTTCCTATTCTGCATCAGTGTGTTTTTATCTGTCACATCAAATCCTGGATTTTCAAATCTAAATGTTGACAGGTATGACTAGAGGCTAGTCGAATGAGCGGCACTCATCTAACAGCATGGGTGCTTTAGTTAACTGTGACTTCCTAAGGCTCTTGCAGTGTCTCTTGGGTTTGACCTGGCTGCATTAGTTAGAGTAAAAATACATTAATGTTAGCGCTAAGAGAGCAAAGAATAACGCCAGGTGTAGGCTGTGGCTCATGTGTTTGTGCTGTGTCAGTGATAGCCTCTTTGTCCCTCAGGGAACGGGTCCTGATATACAACGATTTGGGGTTGTGCCTTCCCACCTGCAGCCCAAAGACCCCAGGGTAAGGACACTGCGCTTTACTCTCGCGATGGCAAATTTGCAGTATAGGCTAGGATGTGCTGCAGCACAGTCACTACAGCAGAAACTACTCCTGAGAAAGAGCAAGATGTGCAGATTAAAAGTGGTTTTACACTTCTCTTCTCTTGTAGCTTACTGAACACTTTGGGACATCAACATTGAAAATCACAAATGTAAGCAGAAACAGATGTTTTTGAATCCCTCTGCTCCTTTCAGTTCTTTAGTCTGCATCACTGTCTCACAACTTCACGCACTCTTTGCACTAATCTCACTTGTAATCTTGACTACTACTGGTCTATTTTCTGCTCTTGCACACTCGGTTAGATTTTTCAGACCTAGAAATTATGCTATGATGTATGCGGTTATTCTTTTCACCGCCTTTCCTTTTTTAAAAATATATACATAACCAAACTTGAGCTGGGCCCCAGATTTTAACTTTTTTTCCTGCTGCAAAACCTCAAGCTTGTATGGAGGTTAGAAAAGATATTCTTGAACTGCAGGATCTGCCTCTGTGTACAAAGGCTTTAAAGTTGTAGATTCAAGATTTGTAGAATTACACAGTGTCTTTTTTGTGCTGCGCAGAAACCAGGAAAATGGTGTGCTATGCATGTTCAGGTGGCCTACATGATCCACAACCATCAGAGAAAAGTAAAGGTGAGTGTCTCTTACTGACATCATGTGGGGAGAGATTTAATTGCCACTATGCAAAGATGACAGTATGAGGTTTAACTCTTCTGCCCTTCATTCAGCTCATGCAGGCTGATCCTCACAAACTGGACTTCCGCAGTGACCCGCTGGCCCGTTTTTCTGGAGCCGGTGGACTGGGCCCAATGCCCTTACCTCCTGCTCATGACCTGACCAGACCTCCCAGTCTGTTCTCAGCTGCAGGTGCATGCCTTTTTAATGTTTCAGTGTCCCAGCTGGTAAAATGTAATTTATTTATTTATGTCTGTGCACAGATTGTTGCTGTAAATAATGTGCAACAAGACAAACAGGATTAAGGCTGTCAGTGTCTTTAAAATCATAATTCTTTGTGGATTTAATGGTTAACAAGTACAAATCTGTGCTTTAAACTAGCGTGTGAACATTGCATTTACAAATCCAGGCTTCTTCAGTATCCTCACAAATGAATTTCTCGTATTCTGCCAAGAAATTGAAAACTACATAAACAAAAATTATAAATCCCAGCCGTCACATCCCTAAGTAAATACTGCTAATACTACAACTTGTTTGCTATTGCAGCTGTATTGGTGTTTAATGGATTTGAAGCTAGTCAACAAAGTATGTGCAATATCTGCAAGTACTGCTCTAGAATTGCACAAGATGGCAAAAAACACAAACAGCGGTGATAAGTCCAAGACAACGAACACTGGAGAGGAAAAAAACAAATCAAGAAAAACCCCTCAAAAGATTTAAAAGTGAAAACTACAATCAAAGCTTGGTGCATTTAATTATTTAAAACGAATAAAGCAACATTTACTAGTTTTCCTAGATAATATCAATGTTATATTCCTTATTGATAATACAATTATATTAAAAGCATACCATACAAAATGTTAAATGAATGACGTCACTGTTTGCAACCAGAGCAGCAATCAAAAGTTTGTTGTTTTTTGTAAAATTCAGTTTGAGATGAGTTTCCTCATTTCAGTTTAGTTTTTATTATTATTTTTAAGGTTTTGTTTTTTGTAGTTGCGTTATTAGTAGTTGTTGCTTTAAATGTTATAACTGGGACCAAAAGAGTGAGCTTTAGGATGATGGTGGTGATTCTGTGGTCAGTTTAAGAATACTTTTTCAAACTTATCAGCGAATCAGGGCCAAAGATGTGATCGGTTTCTTCTGATGTCTCTGATCACCGTTGGACTTTGTGTCCTTCTGTAGCTTTGCTGTTTGGTGTGTGAGTAGCATGTTGAGCTTGATTTGAATATTCTTGACATATTTTTTGGTTTTGTTTTATTATCTCTTTCCCTCAGGTCCAGTCAATCCACCCTCGGCTCCTTTCATCTCTCCATCAGCGCCACACTCGTCTTTCCTCGCACCGACTCCACACTTGGGTAAAATCAGTTCAAACTTGAAAGATTTTTATTTTTAACTCATGACAGTAACGTTTTTTTATAAATGTTTGGTTGATGAAACCAGTATTTTAGCTTGTTGTTGTAAAACTGTTTTTAATGGTTGTGTTTTAGATCTGTATGGCCGATCGCCGTCCTTCACCCCGCTGGGAGCTCTGGGTTCTGGTGCCTTTGGAGGACTTGGGAGTCCAACACTGGGTCAGTTTCTCAGCATCTCTACGCCTGATGTGCAAAGCTTAAAGGATCAGTTCAGAGTCTTTCAAATCTACCTGAATGTAGCCCTCACATGTCACACGGATGTTGAAAGAGTTTCTGTGGGCTTCTTAGTTCTTACTTCCAAATCAAAATTAAAGGTGTAAAAGTGCCTCTGCTCCACAGTTTGGCTCAGTCCAGATAAAACTGAACCACAGCTCGGTGTCCTTGTAGTATGGAGAAAGTGTTTTTTGGATGGTTCACACTTGGTCTAACAACATTACAACAACAGTTAACATTTTCTCACGGGCCAATAGAAGCCTTGCCATTGTGTATGAGGGGAAACGGTCCTTTCAGGTCGTATTGAATAAAAAAGGAAGTCTATCCAGTCAGATCAACCTTAAAACCCCAACTAGACCAAAGGAGCGTTTATTTATAATTCTCTTAGCCAACTAAAACCCCCGAACACAAAGCTCATCGCACACCGCTTTGTAGCTTGGCTACTAGCAGACATTTTAGTCTCTAACTACATAGGTAACCTGGAATGTATTCACCACCCCTCACGTCAATCAGGAATATTCTTCACTCCTATTCATTGTCCCGTTAGTCACTCACCTCAAAGTTGATCGTTGGGACCTGCCCTCGTCCCGTCACTAGTAATAGTTTTGCTGGATTTCTTTGACCTCTCGTGGCTTACTGTTGACACCACTTGAACCTTTATAATATTGACATATACAGCTGGGCTCCACCTCACTAATGGTGGTGTTGGTTTAACCGATGCTCAGTAATGGTCTAAAACCTAACAAACAAAAACACTAACTCGATGAGCGTTGGTGTTGCTTTTCTTGGATTCCTTTGACAACATGTTGGCCTCTTAAATAAGTTCTTGAGCTAAACTGTTCTGAGCTGCGTTTGGGTCACCGTAATCGTTCCATTTCACCACACAGGCCAGTAGGTGATCTTTTCCTAAAGGTTCAAAATCCACAGTTTGTGCAAACATCGAACAACACTTCAGCAGTCAGATGAATATAATGAATTGGATGTCTTCTCCCTGGCTGTTGTACAACAGGTATTGTGTGCTGATAACCTGATGAAATTATCAGGAAGTATCTCAGCTCTGTGCCTCGACAGGGAAATGCTGCTTGGGGAAACTGCCAAATATCTGTTTGGCTATCTCAAACTACTGAAGATAAACTTGGAAATTCATGTGGATTTTGCCCCCTCGTGTTTTAGTGTAGTCTCACATTTAATGGCTCATGTAGACAGGTGGGATAATTATAGTCAGCAGCAATTCAGCATATGTGTGACATGTGTGTTAAAACAGGTATTTAAATATCCAAACTGATCCTTTAAGTCCTGCTTCAGTGCGTGAGCTTTCTTAATGGTGTGTGGAGTGTTTCCACCTGGGTGACTGAGTTTTTGGAGTCTGTGATGATTTAATTTAATTGCCAAAGAAACATCTTAATTGTTTAGTTTAAGGACAGACCAAACTAGTCTTCACTCGTGTAGTGCAGCGAGGGGCTGTCACGATACTTGATGTCAGCTAGAGGTAAAGTTACAGGATCGAGGAGTCTGGAGGTCTCCCATTGAAGGATGTGAAGCACTATAGGACAATTGTAGTTTAAAAAAAAAGTCAAATCATTGCAATTCTATCAGTCACACTGATCTGTAATGTTGCTTAGAGCCTTTCAGGCTGAAAACTGGCCTGATGAGGGACGACTGTAAATGAAAGCACGACTGGCCTGAATGCTGTTAATGCTGTTAGGTCTAAGTTTTTATTCTAACCTTGTGCTATCAGAATTTGGGGAAAAATTCTACTGAAATTCTAACAAGCTAATAGCACAAAATGGCTTAAATAAGGATTAAAATTATATAAAGATCAATAAAATGGAATACAATAAAACACCTGTATTATATATTATGGTAATAATAAACAAATCTGGAATCAAAATAAATACAATGAAGTAAAACAAGCACAGATTTAAACAAATATGAACTAATATTATTGTATAAAATAAGATATTAAAATTACTTTTACTTTAAAGAACTGAGTGGTTTTTTTAACCTTATTTACCAGATGTCTCTGTATTTCCTTATTTCTGACTGTTTAATAAACAAATGTATTTTATTCTGATATAAGTGAAACTCAAATTTAAAAACAAAAACAAAAAACCTTTTTTTTTTTTTTTTTTTTTTAAATCCCAACAAATTCAACTTAATTATACTGGATTTTTTTTCCTGTATGTGTGTATATTTAAAAAACAAAACAAACAAAAAACAAAACAAACTGAGAACTACCCAAGATGCTTGGCATCTTTCCTCTGAGGAAAATAACCAGAAGTATTATTTATTTATACATTTTATTTTGTTTTGGTGTAATGGGCTTTAATTTGCTCAAGCATAAATACTTTTGGTCTATCAAAAATCTAAAAATATCAGGTTAATGCCCAGACAACTTAACAAAGACCTCTTTGCTTTAACTACATGTGGCACGGTCGTGGTTGCTTGGTATGTGTGGCCAGTTTTAATTCAATTCAGTTTTATTTAACACAGCGCCAAATCACAACACCAGTCGCCTCAAGGCGCTTTATATTGTAAAGTAGAGCCTACAATAACTGACAGTAGATCAGCTGTGCAGTGTTGACACTTCAGTCACATTTTGAGTTTTGATTTTGAAATGTGACGTTATCGTGCCACCCCTTACTGCAACACGTAAGATTAAATTAATCTTTAAATTGTAAAAACATCTGTCTGGGTGTGTTGGGGCATTTACTGTGCTAGTGAGACGACGATGATGATGATAATGATGATGATGAAGAAAGGAGGAGGAGATGGTTTTGACTTGTTGATTTGCACGACTGCTGGTTCACTCTGATTGGGAGCTTCTCTTTATGTCATAATTGTGTTTTCATGCATATAAGCTTGCGTTTTCTAACCTGAGGTGGCCTCCCCTGCCTAAAGTTTTACTGATTGATTTGATCTGCAGCTGCTACTTCTTTTATATTTACATTTAACAGTCTTATCTGCTCCTGTGGTGTGGGTGTTGGGCTAGCCGTTAGCTTCAGTAAAAACAGAAACTGAGGAGGTGGCTGATAAACATTCAGCATAGCCTGACACACTCATAAGAGAGATTTATGATGGTACCTGGTTACCTTCCCTGAAGCCAGTCGGTATAATTTGGGGAACTGAGCTCCTGTAACCCAGCCTCTCATTACTACTGTCTGTCTGTACAGCTTTGAGTGTTGACCAGGTTTGAATTTTTAACACTCAAAGGTCACAGTTTGGTATTTAACTTAAATTTAGGCTCATTATTTGTGCAAAATGTAAAGATTGTTAGTATACCCGAGGGGTTGTAAAGTCAGATAAATTAAGGTAAACTTTGAAGAAAGATCCATTTAGAAATGCCCTAAATTAAGTTGACTATAGCTTCAGAGATGCACAAACGTTTTTCAGCATCTGTTTTTGATTAAACTTTATTGTAAGCGTCCAAACAGACTGTAGAGAGACGCACGGTGACTGGCTGACTGATTCAACCCATATATTGTGTGGATTTGGCTGCAGGAAGGCCAAATAATATTACTGAACACTCTCATATCTATTAGATATTACCACATCTATTATTGAAGCTGTAGAAAATGTAAAAGGAAAAACAAGCTTGCTGAGATTAGGCATAAGACTAAGCTTTACGTGTGCTACAGCTGAGTCACTGCTGACTTCTGGCTTCATACAAGGTTGGAGAGGGAAAGTTCACACAACTTCCTCTAGTTTATATTCTTCCTGTCCTGCTTGGCCAAAGTGTACCGTCACGGTCCAGAGGAGGTGCAGGAGCCTTGTTCCCTCTCAGACAATGTGAATTAAAGTAATTAAAAAAAATATTTCTGGACATTTTATCCAATGAAACAAAACCTACCCTGGCTTTAAGTAAGAATTTAACTGAAAATCCATCTTATCAGCTTTAGATACCAGACTATTTGGATATTATTTGGTTGGTTTAGAGATTACATCCCTAGCCCTATGTTTTTACTTTCATTACTGGTACAGGTTTTGGGATGTTAGCCAAAAGTTTAGAGTTTAAACCCTGAGCCGTCCTTTTGCTTGTGAGCAGGGTAAACTAGTCTTCGAGCTCGGGCCGAGGTGTTTGTCATCATGCTTTTCTCCCCTCTTAATGCTTTTCTTTCCTGTCTCATAGCACAGCTACAGCTCAGCAGTCACTGTCACAGAGACATGCTGTGCTGGGCTTTGTCACTGATATACAAGTAAAAGGTTGGATGCATTAATTTGAGTAACGAGAAAGTCAAGTCCACCATGAACGTATGGATTTCTGTCCAATTGGAAAACAATCAGGGTTTGTTGGGAGGTTGTCCCATTGTTTAGTTGTGTTTGATCAACTAGACAAAGCTGGGCGAGTTAATAAAAGTACCCAGTACTAAACTATATCAATTAAAGGGTTACAAGAGGTTTGATTGTTTAGCAAGGGTCAATTTCTTTTGAAGATTTCCTTTGTATGTGCTGCAGAAGAGGGTGTTGAAGGAAGTTAAGCGTTAAATAACTGGACTTGTTACTGAGAGGTGTTTTTACTGCTTTCAGTTTGAACTGCTACTTTCTAAAATAATATTAGATGCTAACAATAATACTTGGTGTAAAGCATGTGTTTTTACAACCAGTAGATTATCAAATATTTAATGTGAAAGTCAAACGTGAAGATTTGCCTGTAGTGTTTTCTAACATAAAAAAAAATGTGTTTCATTTGCAGCCGGCTCCGTCTTTGGTCCTAAAGACTCACCAGCCAGTGTAGTCGGGGGCTTGTCTACCCCAAACCATCATGATCCCTGGAACCGTCTCCATGGTGGCCCGCCTGGATTCTCCGCCGGACCCAGCTGGGCTAAAGGAGCAGATAGGAGGGACGAGAGGGAACGAGTGAAGGAAGGCGAGAGAAGAGACATCCCTCACATCAAGGATGAAAAGGACAGGTATGAAATTAAACTGGTTTTAAGTCAGTGTAGGTTCTAAGTCATCCAGGTCATGGGAATCTTAACTGCTTGAGTTAAGGCAGCTGGACTTTGAACTACCAGCCATCTACAAGTCTTGAGATCTATTCTTACATCATTTACTTGATGGCAAGGTTGGCTCGTCGAATTCATGAAACTAAAAGTTCATTTGTCTTTAACTTAAGCCTTTAAGGCTAATTTATAAATAAAACAATACATTTTTTCTGTATTGTGTGGCATTATTTAGTGTTAATCTCGTCTCTGCAAATAGAATGCAAAAGTAATCACTCTGGGCCAGACTAAAAGCATTTTATTATGGTGGGTCATATGTTGGACTTCCCTGTTCCATGGTGTCCTGCTTGTTTTGCTTGGCTTTCACTCACAAACCCAAACACATGCCTATGACATGAGATACAAATGCACAATTAAGTCTTTGACGATGGCTGAAAGATTCATTCAGTCGTTTTATTTTACATGCATGAATACAGTCATGTTGGAAACCCACAAATATTCGCCTCTAACAACCAACCAAACAAGAAACAGTACAGCCGATACCTTGAGTCAAGTTACAGTTGCATATATTGACTTACCAGGAGATCCACAGAGGTTTAATACATTTCAATGCTGCCTTTATTTAAACTACTTATTAAAAAAAAATATCTGTATGCTTGACCGTGAGTCGTTGCAGACCAGCCAGCAGCAGGCAGAGAAGGGAACAGAGAGGAAAAACTTTTGAGTGTGTGAATTTACTAAATTAATGAACACGTTTGAGCTTGCATTAAAACCACAGACAGACAGCTGTTTATTCTAACAGTGGTGAACACAGCGCCCTTTAACAGCTGAGGTTGTGGGAAGGGAGTCTCTCTTATTGTGTTAGACAAGTTATTTACCTCGAGAAAAGTGTAAACCGTTACCAGCAGGTGCAGGGGAGGGAAATAATTATAGATCACCTGCTGAATTTGTAAGTTTGCTCACTCATAAAGAAATAAGCAGCTTCTAATTTTTATGGTCGTTTCATTTTAGCGGAGAGAGACAGAAACTTGACCAAAACTCCAGAAAAAACACACTACATAAAAATTACAAATTGACTTGCATGTCATTGAGTGAAAAAAGTATTTGATCTCCAACTACCCAAGCAGAATACTGGCTCACATAGATTGTAATCCCAGTCAATCAATTACAGATACTCCTGCCCTCATCTTGTTATGTATAAAGCACACGTGTCCACATGTTGATTTTCTTCCATTACGCTATTTTGGTGAGAAAATAGTGCTGTCAAGAGATGTCAGGGAAAGCTTGTAGTCCTGCTAGAAGCTTGGTAGGAAGGTGGGAACTGTTGGTGCGATTATTCAGAAATGACAGAAACATAAAATACGTTTGCAGCCCAAAACTGCACGGGAGGAGCTTGTTAATGATCTGAAAGCAGTTGGGACCAGTTAGCAAGAACACCATTGGTAACACACGACACCATGACCCAAAAAGCACCATCCCCACAGTTGAGCACGGAGGTGGAAACATTATGCTTTGGGGCTGTTTTTTGTGCTAAGGGTATGCGACGATTTCACCTCACTTAGTGGCCAATGATTGGACCCATGTACTGTAAATTCTTGGACGAGAACCTCCTTCCCTCAGCTAGAAGACTGAAAATGGGTTTTCCAGAATGACAATGGCCCAAAACGTACCACCAAGGCAGCCAAAGAAGAAGCACATTAAGGTCATGGAGTGGCCTAGCCAGTCTCCAGACTTATAGAAAACCTGTGGAGGGAGTAGAAGCTTCAGGCAGCAGCCAAGACACCTATTGGATTCAGTTTCTGTAAAGAGCAGTGGTCCAGAATTCCTCTTGAGATGTGTGCAGACCTGGTGACAAACTACAAGAAACACCACTGTGCTTGTCAACAAGGGTTTCTTCACCAAGTACTAAGTCATATTTTGCTTGAGGATTAAATACTTATTAAACAATCTATACTTTTTGTTGAATGCGTATTTTCTGGACTTTTTTTCCAATCTTGTGTCTCGCTCCACTAGAATAAAAGAATCAAAAAATTAGAGACAGTTCATTTCTTTTAAAGTGAGCAAACTTGCTGCAGTGTAACGTTCACAGAACTGGAAACTGAATTAAATTGTAATCTGTGTGGAAAACTGGTGTGGCAGGTATTAAGCTCTACTGCTTCAGGCCTCCAGTTTTAATATTAAAAATACAAATATCAGGAGCTTGAATGTTGTTTAAATATCTTCCAGCTGCTTAAAAATCTAGCATCCCCTGAACTTTGTATGCTTTTTGTTTTGCAGAGACATCCTGTACGGCCCACCTGTGAGGATATCTCCTTCCTATAAGCCCCGCAGCAGCACCCCAGTCTCACACATCAATGGCCACAGCAGCACCCTGGGGGGGACCATTGGACCTATTGAGGACCTGACACGCAGCTTAAACAGAGACAGAGACCGTGATAGAGACAGAGATGTGGAGAAGAGGCCAGTGCTGTCTGCGTCTTCAAGGGGGCCTCCTCTTGGATCTTCTTCTTTAGTAGCAGACAGGGACAGGCCGCGGTCTTCCTCATCTTCTGTGCTCACTCCTCCCCCACCTTCTAACCGCTCAGCCCAATCTCCCTTGGACCTGTACCCCCGCTCAGTGGCTTCCACACCGCACAACTCCCACAACGAGCCCTCGCACTCCCAAAGAGACGGTAGCCTTCCCTCTTCCTCCACTGCTTCCTCTTCTGTTTCTTCATTGTCTCAGACCAAGAAGCCTGATCGGACCTCGACGCCCCAGTCCAAACCTTCCATGCAAATTCAAGTGAAACAGGAGCGGAAGGAGGAGCCGGAGCACATCCCCATCTCCCACCATCCCCTAGCACCCAGCCACAGCTTTGACCGCCCCAACAGCCACCCTCACCACCCCAGTTCTGGCACCCCTTCTTCTTCCTCTTTATCTCTGACTCCTACTCCAGGTGTCCCTCTCCCACCACCTACTCCAAACCCACCTTCGCACCAACAGATGTCCCTGCTGGAACGCACAAGAACCATTGAAGCATATCTGGGGGGCGCAGTGGGTCCTGGAGGGTTGGTAGTCGGTCCTGGTGGTGAACGTTTTCCCCACGGTCCACCTCAAGGACCATCACAGGGCGCACATAGCTTCCCTTGGGACCCGTGGAGGGAGCAGCAACATCAGCATCGTAGGGAGGCTTTAGCATTTCGGTCAGACCATCACCTAGCCCTGCGACCTGAACATCACCTGGCTCAGCTGTTCCGGCATCAGCGCCTTTTTGAGGCAGAAAGGGCCGCTGTAGCCGCAGCAGTGGTGCCCCACCCACAGCCTTCTACCTCTAATGCCTCCTCCTCTGCTGTTCGCCCCGACTTCAGCCTCATGGCGCATCCCTTCGATCGCCATCCTCAGCTCGGACCCCCAGGAGGTGGGCTGATGGACGAGGAGCAGCGGATCCAGATCTTTAGGGAAGACTATCGTAATTTAATGCACCTGCACCTCCCTCCTGGCTCTCACCTGTCCAGCCCCTCTCACGCTGCTACTGCCCCTCACCTGGATCAGCTTCACCCTCTCGCCCACTCTCTCCCTCCGGGAGCTTCTGGTGCTCACCAGCACCACCCGGGCTTCTACTCCCGCCTCACCCCGCTCATCCCACCCCACATGGCCAACGGTATCCTGGCAAAGACCACGGCAGGCTTGGTGGGACCTCTTCAGGTGGGGGCGCCGCCTCCGCTCATTCCGTCCGTCACCAATCGGTCGGCCACACCCCCCCGCAGCTCTAGACTCGCAGGTCCAGGTGAGCTGGCACTGTACAGCGCCCACAAAGACGCAGAATCCAGATAGTACAGGGACAACACTGGAGGAGATTAAGGGAAATGTCAGGATCACTGTGCTGCTCTCAACCTGCCCCTTTTCCTCTTGCAGACTACTAAACCCCGACCTTCCAATTACACAACCAAACCACCCCCGCACCCCTCCAAACAATGTTTAAAAAAACAAAAAAGGAAGGAGGTGATGGTAGGAAGGGGAAAAAGCAAGGCATGGAATAAGCCCAATGGTTCTATCAGTGCAATTTAAAGGTACATTGTTTCTGTGCATCCTTGGTGTATTTTTATTTTATACTGAAAGTTTTCAGAAGAGGCAGAGGACAGCTTTTTCATTTGTCAGGTGAATTATTTTCCATACTTTTTTTTTTTTTTTTAAGCAAGCCTTTTCCACGTGGATTTGGAAACGACTTCCAGAGGGGATAAATGCCCAGGGGTTTGTTTGTCCACGGCTTGGTTAATTTATGGGATACTTCAAAGCCCTCCGCTACATGTATCAACCCTGCTTTTAGGTGTTGTGGGTGAGGGTTTATTTTGGAAATACAGTGGTAAAGTGGTCCTCTCTTCTGTTTTTGTTGGTGTGTCACTGCGCAAAGACAGATTACCGATGAGACCATTTCACGAAGATCATTCAGCATCGTACCTCAGTTTCCTGCTTTACCCCCCAAAATCCAACTTCAGACCCCTCAGCTTCAATTTTGACATTGTTTTGAAAAAACTTTTTTGTTTTTCTTTGTTGGTTTTCAAAGGATGAATGGCGAAATGAACTGTGCTACACTGTGAACACAGTGTCTTTAGAGCTTCCTGTAAGTGTTTCCCAGTCTCCTCTTGAATATACGAGCAGGACCAGATTATAGTAGTCTAGAGAAATTGCCTTTGTAATTATTATTCTTAACATTAATTATCTTCTATAATAATAAATATATTCACTGTTATGTTATTTGTCATTGTTTTGGGTATCAACCAGTACTCTGTCCCCGGGTAGTAATGTTTCAAATCATCCAGAAAGGCCTGCTTCACAGAAAACTCTTCAGTGCTTGTGAACATTAAAGCCACATCCATCGCAACCTCTGGCCTCTTCAAGGATCTCATCTGTGACTATAATGCTAAGAGAGAGAGAGGTTTGCCTGTGTGTCTCACTGGTTGTGTGTGTTATATCCATTTGGGAGTATGGGAGCCTTGTACATTGAACTGTCAAGTTGTTTCTTCAACAAAAGTAAGTTATATACATGGATAAGTGGGACGTGTGCTGAAGAACTGAAAAGGAAAAAAAACATATAAGGACTGTCAAAAGACAACTAGCAGTGGGTATCCTGAGAGGGAAAAGACTGGGTCGATTATTTTAATATGACCGTTTTATACCTTTCGAACCCCTCCCCTAGAGACCACAAAGAATAATTATTAAATGAATTGTTGTTTACACTGTTGTGTGCGTCTTTTGTCCTGAATCTTTAAATACACCTGCTCTACACTTCGTTAGGTAGGAACCACCTCGCCCCCTTTTACCTTCAGAACTGCTTCTTTGTGGCAGAGGTTAATCAAGATAGCTATCCCCCTCACCATTACACCCCCACCAGCAGGTGAACAGCGAGACAGCATGGCTCCGTGCTTTTGTTTGTATGCCAAATTCTGATCCTACCATCTGAATGTTGCAGCAGGAGTTGAGATATTTTTCTGTTGTCTGATTTTGGTGAGCCTAAATGTACTGTAACCTGTTTCCTGTTGATGTTACCGTTGCCTTTCTATCAGTTTGAAGCAGTCTGCCGTCAATAAGGCATTTTGACCCAGAGAACTGCTGCTCAGTGCAGCTCTTTATGGTTTACAGTGAATGGTCTAAAGGGATGGTTGTGTGGGGGAAAACTTCAAGGAGATCACCGGTTTCTGAAATGCTCAGACCAGTCCATCATCACAGTCAAATAATCCTTCATTCTGATGGTTGGTTTGAACTTCAGCAGGCTGTCTCCACAATATCTACATGCCCAAATGCATCGAGCTGCTGCCATGTGATTGGTTGATTAGATATTTGCATTATCGAGCAGTCGAGACAGGTGTATGTAACAAAAAAAAGAAAAAAAAAAATAGCCAGCGATTGTTATTTAAAAGGATACAGGCTACATACTTTTTTCAATAGGAAAATATAATTAGTGACTTACAGTAATCACATTTAAAATATGACTATATAAAAAAATAACCACTGTTCATCTTTATATACTTTTTGTCAAAACCACATGGAGCCACTGGAGATGGTCCAGGTTCACACCCCCCGAACTAAACAATTCATTATTAATGGAGCAATCGTGGAAACAATCAGCATATTATCTTAATCTCTCTGAACCTCAGTTGGAGTGGCGAGCATGGACATATGTGCAAAAACGTTTAGTCCTGAATCCCTTGAGCTATGAATTTAAAGGCCCAGAAATGAAGTCATGGAGGAAAATTAAGAATTTCAGACAGAGGACAGATTTGTTTATTTTCACTACTTAAAAGTGTAGCTGGACCTTAGGAAAAAATTAAATTAAAAGAGGTTTTGATATTTATAATCAAAACAGGCTCTTTTTAATTTAGGTTATTTGCAGAAACACTGGTACCCATCAGTGACCAGTGTAGCATTACAGTATATACTTCAAATCAGGCTTAATAGACTTTTTTTTTTCTCCTTTGCTTCACAATTCTGTTGTACATTTGCAATGATAGTTTTTTGTATTTTTGTTCTATAATTTTACATATGTAACAAAAAATATAGTGTTATTGTAATTAAAATGCAAATAGTCATAAATGCTCCTCTGTGAAACACGTGGATGTAACAATAGTATTTATTTACACCTGTTGATAATATTCAAAGGATAATCTGTCCTTAAAAGGCTGTGCTATTGTTATTATAAGGATTAAATTGGTTTTGTGGCTCCATCAGATTTCTTTTGTTTAAAAATGGCTCACTGTTGTTCCAACTCAAATTTGGCAAATAATAGGGCAGCATTCTTTAAACCAAAGAAAACCACCTAATATTTACATAAAGCTTTTAATAGTAACATTGAATAATTTTAGTCCATTCAACAAGTTTCAGGTACATCAAATATAACATGCTATGCATAACATCACTTACAATCATACAGATAATCATTTAAACTTAGAGTGCATTAAAAATATATGTGTATTAAAAATAGCTGCGATTATGTCTTATAAATAATCCAACATTTAAATCACCAGGAAAATGGCGAAATAGCGTTTACTTAGTGTAAACAAACCCCGACAGGGAAATAAAAATAGTTTTGCTGTCACGTTGATATAATTTTCTTTAATATAATGAATAATCCCGAAAAAAAAAACGATTCAACATGCACTATTTCTTCCAAGCGCACCGCAGTAAATCAATTAAATTAACTCGTCTTTATATTAATCGCTCACCAACGCCGGTAAATAAACTATCACAAATGTCAGCATTTCAAGTGGCGCGCTTGACGACTTCTCGCGAGATTTTCGTGCGTTCTGTACTTTGTCAGCAGCGGTCCTCCACCATTTCGCTGCGTAAAGTCTCCTCCCCGCGACCGCTACATTCTGCGCCGAAACCCAGTCTCTCCCGGTCCGTAATTTAACTTCTTCCCACAGACCTAGGGGTACCTCGTTGGGTACCGGGAGACAGTTCGGATTACTGGCATTACGGATTGAGTGCGATTTTTCGCGGATGACGACTCCTTCAACGAGAATTTAGTAAAAGAAAATTGGTCGGAAATTTCAGGTAGGTGGGAACTTAAGATGGCGGCCTTGAGAGGGAGGGGGGCGAAGGAGGAAGTAAAGGGGGATTCAAGGGGGGTTTTAGACAACTGGAAGGCCACAATCAGACTGCGTTTCATTTGTTCACGCTGCTTCTGCGGCGTGCGATGAAATATGTACCTACCTACAACACTGACCTAAACCAAGATGACAAAACAGTAGACAGTGACATGGGATATCTTCGGATGTTAACTACTCTAAAAGAAAAAAGGAGTGATAAACCGTCACTTCCGTGCGGTCGTTTCTAAAGTGCGGTCCGTGGGGACGTAGTTAGCCCCCTTGAGTCCCCCGTGTAATCGTTGCAAAATTTATATGGAACTTTCTAACACTGTTTTTTTTAGACATTTTGTATATTTAACTAAAAAGTAATCACTATCTATTTTTAAAACTGAATAATTTAAACCCATTTATTTTCGCAAACAGAGGATTTGACCCCACGCAATGACGTCACGAGTGATTGTCTCCCCCCTCCCTCTGTAGTGCATGCAGAAGCGGCTTTTAATGCGACTTTTCGGATGTTTTGGGGGTATTTTTGGGTCCTCAGCGTACAGTAACGCATTAAAATGTATCGGCATAAACTGGCTTCTTTGAAGCCTGAGCATTACATAACTGCGGGTGGGATGAGGGGCGCCTGCGCGTCAAATGAACGCACCCTACTAACTAACTCTTCTAGCTGGCTAGTTAGCAGCAGGCTTCCTCCATTTAACTGTTATTGCTGGAGCTAACGTTAGCTAGTTAGCCAGCCTGCCAGAGAGCTAACCGGCAACGTTAGGCGTTAACCTTTGAATTGTGTTTTATGAAGCTTCTTGAGCTGCAGTTCTCATATGGGTACGGCTCATGTTTCAAGGTATCACCGCTGCCACATCACTAGTGAATACACATAATTTCTTGGTCGTCTTGAACCCCATGTGGCGACAGGTACTCACAATTTAAAAGGGAAAAAAAAAGAAAAAATAGTCACGAGAGCACGGATTGAATGACTGACCGGAGGCCCGCGCGCTTGGTCGCCGGCTTTTAGCGCGAGAGAGCGCGTGCTGCAGAAATCCTAACATCTTCCTGTGGGCGACTGCAGCAAATGCAACCAGGAGCTGGCTGTTTTTTTTTTT